TTTTCTCTCACTCTCTTTCTCTCTCTTTCTCTCACTCTCTCTCTCTCTCTTTCTCTCACTCTCTCTCTCTCTCTCTCTCTCTCTCTCTCTCTCTCTCTCTTTCTCTCTCTCCTTCTACCCTTCTTTGCGAACGGCAGAAAAAAGGACGATGCCCGCGAACAAGAGCAATCAGCTGTCGACGCCTCGCAAAGAAAAATCAAACAACGGACTAGCTGCAGGCAATTCGAAGAAGAAGAAACGCTCCTGCGTTAAGCATAAAAAACATTGCAAACAATATCTGGTGAGTGTGCGAAAGTAAAACTCGTTAATCTTTTGAACGATTGTATACATATATACATACATATATTATATACAATATAAATATATATATATCTGTTATGTGTATATATATATACACCGATGATCGAGACGAAGTTTCGAAACATTCAGTGTCCATCGTACGAAATTTCAACGCATGGAGGATCGTGTTCTAAGATTGGAAGTAGCATGGACTAGCACCACAAAAAGCGCATCGAAAAAACGTAGTGACACTTTTCGGTTCTACTGTTGACCTTTTCCTTATTCACTGATCCTTTCCCCTTACTTTTTGTTTTTTTTTCTCCCTTTTTTCTCGTAATCCTTGCACCTGCTACCCTTCTTTTTCTCAACGTCGTCCATTAAACTCCTTTCTCTCTATCTCTCTTTATCTAACTCGTATGTATGTACATACACACTACATCGTCGTACGATAATGGTATAAACCTTTAGCGATCGACTCCGCAGGCTGATTGTAAGAGTGCCAGACTAGAATGCGCACGAGGCATGCGCGAAGCACTGATTATCATTTTATCACCAAATATAACAGGATGCAGTGTGTGTCGTGTAATATATGTCTGATTTTTATGCGTAGTACTTGATATATGCGTCTGTCATTTTATTTACAAATTTATTAAACTCTTGGTACAAGTTTGAAGTAAAAGAAAAATCTAAAAATAATAGGTTTGTCGTTTAACGTTACAAAATTACGTGCGATAGTGATTTTATCAAGAAAACCATTTAGAATTACTGATCGTATATTACATTAATTAGTGGCTTTTAACGTGCTCAGAATAATTATCGTGATAAAATGCTCTCTGGAAAATTGATTTATTACATATATTGGTCTACATGTGTTGTATATGTCTTTCTTTTTCTCTTCTTTTTTTTTTTTTAACTAATGATTTTTAAAAAATACGAAATATGATATAATATGGCGCGCAAATTAAATAACATTTATATTGACTACGCTAGTAAACTCCACACCGATATAGTAAATTTTTATAAATTAAATCAATATTCTTGGACTTTTTTTAAAAAACCATTTAAATATTTAAATTGACAATTGATATAGATTTTTTCAAATTCCCATTTTCTTTGGACCGTGAAATTTCATTTATCAGATATAAGTCAATTTTTATGCTTGTAATAATTATTAGAAAAAAAAGAAAAAAATTTATTGTATGCGACATGAGACAACATAAACGACATTTGATAAACAGACAATTGCAATGTTTTATTTTGTAAAAGGACCTATAAATAACCCGTTCCTTGAGTCTTTGTAGTAATGTCCTTGCTAGAATTATCTTTTTTTAAAATTTTTTTATTTTTTATGTTAGCACGATTTTTCCTTTTAGAGACAAGTATTTTGATGTTTTGTTATATACATATGTATATATTTTATACGTATGTTAGATTTTTGCACTTGTCTCTTTAATGCACCTACATGCGTTGGCGATACTTGTACTATTTTATTGACCTTAAAAAGAAAAAAAAAAAAGTAAGTAAATATGAGATTGACAAAAGATATATTTGCTATATTTACGTTTATAGAATATATAATATTTGTATTGACAGTAATATTATTTTGAATACTCTATGCAATTTTAGTTCTAGTGATTTTAATTTCGTTTCAATTGCAATTTCTAATTCCTAGATGTAAGTAATAGTATATTAATTTTTAAGAAAATAGAAAAAAGAAAAGAAAACTAGATTTCGCTAATTCAGTAGATCAAAGGACCTCGTTGATTTTCCTTTCCTTTATGCTTCGCTTAGGTACGTGTCTATATAATTGTGTGTTTCTGTGTATGTACACGTGGTGTCTAAAGGTGTGTGTAGAATAACGATAGATGATTCCACTTCGACAGTATCTACTTGAACTACTTTGCTATTGTGTCTTGTATAAGTAAAGAAATTAAAGTAGACCTGCTAGTTTTGTTACGTAAGAAGGTTCATCAAAGGTTTTGCCATTCTGATTATTAAACGAGTTAATTCGTAGCTATAATCATGTTATAAGCTATAAATTGGATTAAACAGAGGATTAAAAATACGTAACGTGAATTTGTATGCAAGAGATAAAAACTAGATTCTATTAGAAATTGCTTGTGTGGTTATGGTAAATTGCGGTGATTATGGTGGGTGATCTAATTGTAAGTAAAATATTAACAAAAAAATTAGCTTATCGCGTAATTTGTATAATTAGGTTATTTCTATAAGCATTATGGAATAAATTAATATTATTAACATTTTTTATAATCAGATCACATTTTCATAATTACCAACTCGAATAAAAATTTAATATTTTCTAATGGTATAAGTATATTTTGCCGTGTGTAGATACATCTTAAACAAATAAAGAACGTTTTTTCTGATTTGCAAGAGTAATAAATAATAAAAGATGGTTCGCACTTACGTGTAAATATACTGTAAAAGGAAAAAAGAAATGAAGAGAGTTCAGCAGTCTAGGACCTAGGCCGTAATCTATGTGGGGGGTTACAATCCTTATTGATTTATTCGTAGTAGACGTTCTATGCAAGAGAAATTTCGCTGTGAGCGAATTTATTCTAGAGTTTTAGTCTCGCCTTATACCCTCGAGTAGCTTAGTAGAAAGAGATCGATGAGAATGTGGAATCCATTCACATACACACATACACACATATACAAATATTGTATATATAGGATTGAGAATTGTTGTCATTCTGAAACTTGGAATAATTCCTTGCTGAACGATCGATTCGCATTATTCTATTTTAAGATTGCATGTTGCAAAGCATGTTTGTTTAAACCCAAGCCCAGGACTCGTTCCAAGCCCAGGTAAGGGATAATTTCGTATGGTCATCATAAGAAAGTATTATATGCTAATTTATAATTAAAAAATGATAAAAGGTTTCGCACTTGTATGTATTTGTAACACGTGTCTCTTATTCTTAATAACGAAGAATAAAATATGGGAAACGATCGTTTTATTTGAATAAAATCTATTATAGAAAAAAACAAATGTTTTGGAGTACTTATCTCTTGGTAAATAAAAGAGAAAAAAAGAAAATGCAAAAAGTAAATAAACGATTTTTTGTCTATTTATTTTTTTTTTTTTTGGTTTCATCACGTATCATAATTCTCTTTCATAAAAAAAAAAAACAGAAGAGAAAGTTTAATTTAATTACACACGCACATCGTTGATAGGAAATTTGTCTACTACAAATTAGGTCACAGTTACACCTATATACGTACACTACACAAGCATACTCCTTCCGAGTAGCTGGTGGCCATCGAATATCACTCGATGGCCCACGACCCCGCGTCAGCTAAAGATGGTATCAAGTTCCGTTGCCGATCGTACTTACATTGTTCCCCGAAGTATTTTCGATCCAATACAAAGGCATTTATACGTACAAAGGAGAGAAAGAGAAAAGAAAGAGAGAGAGAGAGAGAGAGAGAGAAAGAGAAAGGTAGACACAGTGCTTCGTTAAGCGAATATCGTCTTTTCAAATAGGGAGTTAAATCACATTGTTTCTCACGGATACGAACGTCAAGGCCTCAAGTTTCCCATCGCGAACTCTAGTACTAATACTTCCTTCTTCTTATTGGCAATCACGAATTGAACGAAGAATTAGGAAAATAATTTAACGCGGATATCTTCTCGGAAATGATTCGAACCGTTGATTAATGTAGTCCAAATTAATCGAGAATTTGTTCATTTTGCTCGCGTTATTAAGAAAAAAAAAAAAGAAAATACGAAGAGAAAACCTATCGGTTCGATCTTGAACGAAGGGCTTGAAGGAAAAGACTGCTACTGCAAATAAACGGTATGAGTGCAGGTGCACTCATGGAAGATAGTCAACGTTATAACCCCGCCTAGACATCGTGGCGCCTGGTACGTGACAAGATGTGGGGAGGTTTAGGAAGGATGGGAAGGAAAAAGAAAAGAAAAGTAAAATAATTTGTTGGTAGGGATAGGGGAAGAGGAAGTTAAAGAATAAAATGAAGATGGAAGAGAAATCATTCGGATGAATAACGGTAGTGAATCAAAGGAAAATAATGGATGAACATTTCAAACGACATATATCAAAATCACATTGATGTTACCCTATTGCAGATATTAATTGTTGTCTTTTATGAGTTGCTTCAATAGCGTATTGTCGAAGAGGAAGAAACCGAATAGCAAGTTACAGTCGAAAAAGGGGGAAGGATAGAAGGGAGAAAGGGGAAAAGGAGAAGGATGTGATAAGAGGAAGTCGAGGATTAAAGGAAGACGTTAAAGGAGAAGAAGTAATGCAGGAAAATAATACAGGAAAGGAGGGTGAAGTATAACCGCTCGTAAGGATGAAACTAAAAAATGATAATATTGACAACGGATAAGCCGGAGGCATGAAGCCAGAAATTTTAAGTAAGCGGAATAGACACACAACATACAACGAACGATGACGATGACGACGAAGACGAAGACGAATGATGACGACGACGACGATGACGACGACAACAACGACAACAACGACGACGAAGAATAAAAGAGACAGAGATAGAGAGATGAACACAAGCGAGCAAACAAATGTGCGATTTAAAAGGGAGCGTGCGCGAGAGCGCGAGTGTTAGTGCGTGGAAAAGGGGTAGGAGGGCAATACTTAAAAGGGAGGAAGAGGACTATTGCAAGAGGGAGGGAGAAAGAAAAAGGGAGGGAAAAAGAGAGGAGGAGAGATACGGGCAGTAGGGAGTAACCACGGGGGAGTAACGTTGCGGAATATCGACCCGGTACGGTTTAGCGCTTGCGCCCCCGGTCACAACCCTCCTGCCATGACTCGATGGTGGTGATGGTGGTGGTGGTAGCCGTCTTGCCGGCGACGCGGCGCCCTACGCAACGTCGGTGCGATCGGTGGTGCGACGTTGGACCAGTGCTTCTCACGATTCCGTTCTTGCTCTGTTCGTCTCGTCGTTTCGTCTCGTCGTCTAACCTCGACAAGTCCTCGACGTCGTTCTCTTCGTACGTGTTTTTCCTCGACGATTTTTCTCTTATTCTTGTTTCTTTTTTTTTTCTCTTTTCATTTTACCCCTTCTCTTTCTCTCTCTCTCTCTCTCTCTATCTATCTCTCTATCTGTCTCTCTCTTTCTCTCGCTCTGTCTCTTCTTGAAATATCCTCTCACGCAAGGATATCCTCAGAATCGTCATAATCTATCTTCTTATCGATTTCAAATGCATCAGTTTCATAAAGTGATTAAGAGTAACGACAAATAAGATATCGGATAATCGGTAAATTTCTTCAACTGTGCGATTTGTCAAAATTCAACCTTCGCAAATCTATTGGCAATCGACTGATCGATAAAATTGGCTATATAATTTACGCATCGATCATAATTGCTATGTAAATGATTGGTAAAACGGGCGAAGGAAGAAGGGAGTAAAGAAAATGAAAGAGAGGAGAGAAAAAAAAGAAAGAAAGAAAGAAAGAAAGAAAGAAAGAGGAATAGATTGTGGGAAGGGGATAGAGGGGAAGGGTGGGAGGAAGGAAGGCAAAAGGAAACCCTCGTGCTTAACGGAAAGACAGCGGAAAAGCATCGTTAGTGATGATCGAGTGACAGCCCTTAAAAATATTCGATTCGATACTTTGTTTGTCGGTTTCAAATTGAATGCGTTTAATATGAATTTTAAGAAAAAATTGATCGCGATCATTTCCGCATTTGAAAATGACATTTTTCTTTTTGTCGTTAATTACGATAGTTCGTAAAGTAACTTGAACGTCCAAAATATAAAGAAAAAAAAAATATATATATATATATATATATAAATATAATAAATTTGTAACTTTAAATGTGAAATCAGAATGTAAAGCATATAAGTCTATTCATTTTTTCAATTTTTCCTGTCACACGGATCTATCACGACGATGACATCGATGCCGATGACGACGATAATGATGATGATGATGATGATGATGATGATAATGACAACGCTACCACTACTACTACTACTACTACTACTACCATGTTTATGGAACTCTCCTCTTAGAGTGGAGAATAAGAAGGACGGACTATAAAAAAAAAAGAGCACTTTCTTCGTTAAAATTACATCGATTATAATCGTCAAATTTAAGACGTATAAAAAGAAGAAGAAGATAAATAAAGGAGAATAGGAAGGATAATAAGAAAGTACGAGAAGGAAGAAGATAGAAAAAAAAAAAAAAAAAAAATTCGTGAATCTTAATTGTGTAAATTCTGTAACTGTCGGGAATATTATACGGGAGGAAGACAACCTGGCCTGGCCCGTGGGCAAAATCGTCGTTTGTAACGGCCCCGTCGCTGTAATAGCGGCCGTGTGTCACCATCCTTTCACTGCCCCATACACCGCGGCCTCATGATCGGTTCATTCTGGAACCTTTGTCGTGCGTGTCCTTCGATGCCGATTGACAAGGTGAGAAGAATATCTGCGAGCAAGTTTATTTTGCTCGATCGACGTTTCTAGGGCGGTGCTGGTGGTGGTGCCGCTGCCACACCACCACCGTCGCCTACGACGATGGCGACAGCAACGGCGCCGTCAGGATACAGGGGAGGGGGAGAGTATTGCGGTAAAAACGTCTTTTTCCGCCTTCGCCGACGATGCTTTTCGCGGAAAACCGAAGGAGCTTGGGAAATCGATCGACAGAGTCCTTTTATCGGGTGAATCGAAATTATATTCATTTCGATCGTAATATATATTACAAAACAAAATATTACATATTATCAAACATTTACACTACATATGTATATAGGTATGTTAGATATTAATATAATATTCAATTGCGTAGATTTGATTGGAAACATTTTCATGACGTCGTGTTAAAACGTGTGTAGAGAATAATATAATTTTGTTCTTTCTTATTTCTCGTATTTGTTGTTTCATTACAAATAAAAAAGATATATTCGAAAAAGTATGATTAGAAATGGATTATTATAAAATATATGGACGTGTATACAATATAATTAGCACGACTGCATTGGTTGTAAAAGATTAAGCTTGGTTGATCGATGTTATATTATGTAGTTTCGTAGTTAGATATTATTCTTGGTAAGAACTATATAAAAATGTCTTGTAAAAAAGAAGAAGAAAAAGAAAAAGAAGAAGAAGAAGAAGAAGGGGAAGAAAAAAAGATGGTTTGATAGTTTTGTTGTAGTTTTTTTTTTTTACGAGTTCAACGTATTTATTCGCAAGATATCGCCGTTCGATGGAACTCGCGCATGCCCGACGGAAATGACTATGCCGTTCTTACTATCGTACTAGACCGGCCCTTCAGATACATTATAATTTTTAAACGATCTCTCTTCACGTGCCGAGCTCCTACCTTTTCATAGAAATTGATGATGGGTCAACGTAGAATCGAACGCCGAGAAACGTCATAGCACCGTCCACTATGCGGACATATGTCAAATATTGCAGGTGTTGCGTAATAAAAGCTTGCGCGTTGGAAAGTATGTGCTTTTTCTATTTTTTTTTTTCTTTTATTATTTTTTCTTCCTAACTCGCGTGTCACGCGAACGTTAAATCTATAAATTATATAGCGTCAAGTATTTTTACTGCAAATCAAAAGATAATAAACGGGATAATTTGTTATAGTAATATAACTAATAATTAAGAGAATGTAAAATTTATATATGATATGTATACATTTCTCTTACATTCCGAGAATCGTTCTTCACATATCATGAAAATAATTTTAATTATTTGTTACAGCAGCTCCATTCGGAATACAGGAGCACGTACACATGGCACGAATATACAGGGCCGCAACAAGAGCATACGATTGTTCGTCGGGCGCCTCAACCACCACCGACGTCCAGTAAGTTCTATATTAGATATTAGAACAAATAAAAAAAAAAAGAAAAAGAAACGAAACAAGAAAAAAACAAAAGTAAACTCGAATATATGAAAGAGACAATTAAACATTTTATAAAGCTTTTGTCGTAATATTATAACAAAATGAATCGCTGGCGACGTGTTTTTGAATATAAGCATAAAAAAAAAAACATTTTAATCTCATCATCGCGATAAACGTGAAATCCATGGCCTCGCTCAATATATTCATACATATGTTAAGATCAGTTCTATGTTTTTTTTTTATTATCGATGCGCTGAACATTAGAGAAGCTATTAGAGTGAAATGTATAACGTATATATATACACACACATGCATACATAATACATAAATACTTACATATGTGTGTTTGCGTGCGTGTGTGTATGTAATATACGTACGATTGCCAGCAACAAATCGTTCGTTCTTCCGCTGCTACGTTCCGCTCGCAATGAGGCTTCCCCTTCCCTCTACGGCCTCTTTTCCGATAGTCCGTTCTAAATCGTGGTTCTTTTTAAAAAAGCCAACGCGATTCCTCTCTCGTGTTCATTTATTTTCCGCGCGTAGGTAAGAACTACTCTTACCCCCTAAGTGGATCTCCCTCGTAGCAGACATTGGCAAACAATTTTTTTGTCGGCTGAGCTTAGCTCAATTTTCTTTGAACGAGGTCGATAGAAAAACGGTGGAGGAGGGAGCTTCGTTAGAAAAGAAATTAGCGAAAAAAAAAAAAATAATAATAAAAAAGAGGCTGCGAAAAAAAATTTCGATGCTCGGCTGTGTCGTATCGCTTGAATAATATTTAATTAACAAAACGAGAAACGAATTCTTACTCGATTTTATTATTTACACATTCATATTATATTGATGCTTACAAAATTGTTTCCAATTTATTTTGTAGAAAACGTTATATTGAAAATTTACGGATTCGTGTTTATGTATTTTCAGGGTTGAGATTAGCTGTATTGAATTCCTTTCTCTTGAAATTAACCAACAATTAAACCCCCCCGCCCCGCCCTGCCAACACGAACCCCTCACCCCCGTCTTTCTTTACTATACCCTTAAGGATGTTCTTAGTGGTTTTATTTCAATGTGTGCTATTCCTCGTGGTTATTTCATTATCGCACACGCTCTCCACATTATGTCTGATCTTGATTCACTCTTACACCAAGGCTAAGATATTTTCTCTGCGATCCGTTTATCATATATATATATATATATATATATATATATATATATATAAATATTATATATGCACATTTGAAAAATATAAGAACTATTTGAAAAGTCGAGATTTTGTCTATTGTACTATACGTTACTGAGCCGGGGTTTTTGTTTATTTTTTTTCATACCTTTCTTTTCTAAGAGACTCTTCTTATTATCTTGTAATTTTATGACCGTTCACCAGTTCCTCTCACACAACCGAACAATAATAACGATATTATATATATATTATGTACTTTTATATACATTAGTTTTTTGCACGTTACATTCATATCGTATATCGTCTATAGTTTAATGTTTCTTTATCGATGTTACGTCAGCTCTTTGCCTTTAGTCACGAAACATATAGATGCGTTAACTAATCCCAAAAAAAATGGGGTTAAGATCGTTCTACCGATTGACGTAGAATTCTTACGGTCTCGCTTCTCCTACTTTGCTCCGTTATTAACTAAAAGGTACGCTGAGAATTTGTGTATGTATGCGTGCGTGTGAATAACTTAAATAGAAATATATTTAAACAAATATTTTCAACAAATTTATTCGAAAATTTCCTTAAACGTTTATCACTGTAATATTCCTATTGTATTTTACGAGGAAAAAAAGAAGAACGGGAAGAAGAAGAAGAAGAAGAAGAATAATAAAGAGAACAAAAAGCAGAAAAATTTCCAAATGAAATTTCGCTAGTACATCGCGTGACATCGAGGATTATATTATTACTGCGGTACTTCCGTTTCCGCGTTGAACTTTACGTTCGTTACTTTAAAACTCTTCGTTTCGGTTTAAGTGTTCTTCCAAATTGTCTAATAATAGATGTTTGACCCTAGGTCAAGGAACAGAGAGAAAGAAAGAAAAAAAGAAAGAGAGAGAGGGAGAGAGAGAGTGAGTGAGAGAGTGAATATACAAAATATAAATAAAAAAAATAAAAATTAAGAAAACAGTAGAGAACAGTCCCAACTGCGAATTTTTATTACAGCCAAACAGGCGAACGCAAAACTGCAGTCGGCGAAGTCAACCGAGGACGAAAACAGCGAAGGTAAGATTAACCGATCGGCGACATTTGAAATCCGTGAATTATTATTTTTCTTTATTTCGCTCGTTATATCTACCTCAACAAAAGGCAAGCCGCGCCCTTCGCACTCCTCTTCTTTACCTCAAACGCCTACACAAAACCACGTTATTTTCACGTTATTTTCACGTTATTTTCACGTTATTTTTATCCATCATTTTGTGTCCCCCATCCCCATTTGATTTATTATATAAGCGAAGACGCGTCAACAATAAAATATTCAATGAAGGAAAGCTGTTCAACGTATATATATATATATATATATATATATATGTTACCATCAAAGCTGGAAATCAGTCATTGTTAGTAATTCCTCGACATTACTATGAATGCAAAGCGCCTTCAGACGAAGTCGGAAATAAGACTTTTTACAGAGATTTTCCTAGGCATCGAACATAATACTTTGATATTCTATAGAATATGGTATTGTGTGTCTGTGCCCGAGAATGTATTCTTTTCAACGTTGCTTAAAATATAGTAATTTGATATTCTATAGAATATCAAAGTATTATGTTCGATGTCTAGGAAAAACTCTGTAAAAAGTCTTATTTCCGACTTCGTCGGAAGGCGCTTTGCATTCATAGTAATGTCGAGGAATTACTAACAATGACTGATTTCCGGCTTTGACGGTAACATATATATTTATTTATATATATGTGTGTGTGAGGAATTTCAAATAATGAAAATATTGATCACATCTTTTTTTTTCGGAGCCTTCTGATACCAATCTTTGGATACGATACATTAATAAATGATTATATAAATATGTATATAATATTATAGTCATGAAATATCTGAAAATACATCGCGTCGTTATTACAAATGAAAACTATCATATTGCTTTCTTTCATTGGTCATGCGAAACTTTTAGTTTAATTTAATGATAACCTTGCTGCTTAAGATCCCATCAAGCTATAAGTACTTAATTACATACCTGTATGTATATCGTCCTATTTTATGTTCTTTCCAAGAAGAAAAGTAAGCGCATTCTCGAACAGTCGTTATATAGGTGATGCTTTCGATATACATATGTATATACTATGTAATCCGCACGACACGAATCCGTTCGTTTCATGTCAGCTTTGTCTAAAACTCTGATAAAAATTTTGGATTCTCTCTATCTATCGACCTAAATTTGCAATTATAATAAGACGAGACACAAACATAGGTTTGGTATAAGGAATCATATTTAAAAAAAACAAATACATAAGCTTTGGCTGGATTTTGACTATCGAACACACACACTAGAGAAGAATCGTTCTCATTCATTTTCTTTATTCACATAGGTAGTGCAAAAGAGCTGTTGTCCGACGTATATACATAAATATAATATTATTAATTAGGCTTTTTCCTAACAATAATATTAATATTTTCTCATCATCATTTTATGCTTGAGACATATATATTATCGATTTATTGCTCTCTCTATTGTAAAATTTTTCGACAAACTTCAATTGTGCATGTTTATTATCCTTTATATAGAATCTCTATGTATGTAAGAATTTTTCACGATATTATTATTTTAGCGATTCGATTTTGTTTATTTCCAAGTTAAACATTTTTCGTTACCTCTCGCTCTGCTTGACATTTTATCGATGGAGCTTATGCGCCTGGAATATAAAGCATGATTATTATACTCATTTGTGCACGACCGCAGTAGGGTGGCGCATTAGTAATAGCCCGCAGTTATTTACATGGAATAAAAAAGAAAATAAGTAAAAGAGGATACAAAAAAAGAAAAAAAAGAAAAGAAATGAGAAGAAAAATAGCGCACGTTTCAATGCTCTAAGTCCCATTGAACGATCATCCCTTGATAAACGTCGATCATTAAGCGCGCAATTAAACGAAACAATTTGCGCTCTCTCGCTGTCGTGCACCAGAGATTGGAATCCGAAAGTCGTCCTAGATTGAATTTCATTCTAACGAAAATAACATATAGATACTTTATATATTCTGACTAATATTTTGTGTTTTAGGACCTACCTTAGAACCGCCATTGCCAAGAAGAAAGAAATGTCCCGAATTGGCATACAAGACTCACGAATTTCTTCCGGCAGCGGATGGCGGTGGCGTGGACGTTATAGATTCGAATCTCGTAGCTGATAAAGTTCAGGTAAGTTTCAGTATTATTAATTTGTTCTTTGAGAAAATGAATATATATGTATGTATATATCATAATTAAAAAATATTATTTTAGGAAGTAACAAGCACGGTACCAACTAGTCAACTGAGTAAAGCGATATCTCGTATCAGCACTGAATACCGTTTACAATTCGCATGGCCTAGACGACCCCAATTAACGAACGGCGATGCAGGAGCACCGATTATATCGACGGGAGCATCCTTAGGTGCCGGTGGACCTCCACGAAAATCTCTCAGCATGGGAGCACTCAAACAGGGTATCGTACCTTCTGGTCCCGCGCCAGTTCATAAAAAAAGACCTGGAGATGTGGATCACAAACGGGACGGTAAGTAAGTCTATCGTTTATGAATTGGTATATTATTTCAATCAAATTTTTGAGTAATCTTTTGACGATTTATATATATATATATATATATATATATATATATATATGTATGTATATATATACGTATATAGGTGTCCAAGCATCCGAATTAGAACCATTGGTAGGCGGGACAGGTACGGATACTATCGACGGAACGGTTCTAGAAGGTGACGAACGTGAAGAGGATACGTCAGATTTAAAGATAGCGTTCAGGTCAGAGACTCCCGCGACTTATTTTTTATATATGACCCGTTTTAAAACTTAATTTATAACACGATCGAAGGATTAAAAGCACCTACGACGGTTCCGATAAGTGTGATGAAGTCACGATGAATTGAACCTTATCGATCGATAATCGTATCACATGCGTGTGCCTCATCAGCTACTGATTATTTACAGGGGTAGAAAATCAGGGGGTAAAACCGTAAGGATATCGGGAAGTGACGATAAAGCGGCGAGCAAATCGCAAGAGAAACCATTCCCTACGGCTGAGGTGATTGAACTAAGACGACTCGCTGACGAGTACAAGGTAATTCGCGTAAATCGACTCAAAGGGAAGATTCATTTCATTCTCTGTTTGTTTGTTTCTCAACCTTTCTCCCATTCCATTTATATAATATATACATTATAATATCATTAACATACATATATACCATATAACACAAACATTGTTTTGTCTATCTTTTGATATTCTCCAATTGGATATGAATGATATTCCCCAATGTGTTAAATCCTTTCGTTTGTGTATAATCGCGTGTTAGTTTCTACGTGGGTGTTCGTCCGCACGATTGTCTTTCGTAATCCAAACGAATCCACGTAAATTCCTCCCTTTTAGCGAACAAGTCAGTTTCTAATATCGAGTGATATTTGATTGTATTTTTATATTTTATTTTCAAATCATCGTTTTCGTCTTGTGATCAAATGTGCATGCTATTTAATCGATACTATATAAGTTTTTCATGCATCCTACTGATTTCGCTCTTTATATCCTTCTTGTAAATTCGATCGTATATATACGTATATACCTTCCCACGAGCATGATCTATCTTTAGTGTCCTCGCAGGGTCCGCGATCATAGATTAGAATCGTTAGACTCGATGCACTAAAGGACGCAACAGCTGATTGCTTTTGGTTTGCGTTAGCATCGTGACTGGGGTTGCGGTCTGACAGCCGAGGATGAAGCTTCCCTGTGGAAACGAGTCTCCAGTAACCACGCTCTCAACGCTCTGTCTCTTGCCAGGCCAGTAAATCATTCATCATCGTTATTCGAAGTTGCGTTGTCGCACTCATGTTGTTTGCTTCACGCAAAACGACCGATCTCTCCCCCGCCACTCCCGGTTCCCTCACTTTACGTTTATTTCATTATTCTAGGAAAATTACGGATGAATTTTCTTCCGACATTAGTTCAATGATTTCAATCGTCGTTTCTTGATTTTTTTAGTTCTTTTTTTTTTCTTTTAATTTTGAACGGAACAAAATTATTTACTTTCATAGGAAGGTTACTCCTGATAATCTCATTAAAAAGTTAGGATCTTTCATAGGAATCGGATGGTTTACATTCATAACAGCAACGATGATCGCGATCTTTATAGCTGATGCTGAATATCAAAGAAATATTAATACATGTCGTTACAGTTCGCATCTTCGCACGAGTTCTGTCGTAGTTGGTTTTCAATTCTTCCTCGTTGTGTTTTATCGACAATTAAACGTAATTATTGTTAACGAGGGAAAATATATATTGTCTTAAATAATAATTGAAAATAAATTTAGATCGGTGACGAAGGAGGAAAAGAACAAAGAAAATACGAGGAAAGTGACCCCGGTTATAGCGATGATGACGATGCCGCCAGCAGGTAGACCATCCTCAGTTCAAGCAAGACCTATTCATGGTACACAGCAAGATGATTTGAAATTGGTATGTATATATTTAATTGGATAAATTAGACGATGATTGGAAACGAAATGATTGTTGAAATTATTTCAATATTTGATATTAAGAATTAAAATTAATTGAATATTATTTTTTATTATAAATATATAGGATACTGAAAAAACCGTAGCTCGCGCGAGAAAAGATTTCTTGATCCGTCATCACCTGGATCGTACTACTGGTGTAGGTAAGTAAGCAGAGACGCAAACCGCTAATCTTGCTAAAAGAGAAAAAGAAAATGCAGAACCTACGATGTGCTCGTCACGCGCAGGCGACGGTGCACTACTCCCCTCTCCAACGAGAGAGAAGTTGGAGCCCGTAATACCACGACGACGCGAGGAATCGAAAGAGCACCGAGACGAGATTCAACCAAGAACGAAGTCAAGTCCGAAGAACAGTCCGCGTACTGGACGTTCCCAGAGTCTTGGACCTACCGTTACCGAACGTAGATCACCGAAACGGCAACCTCCACGTGCACCATCAGTGACAAAGGATATGAAGGTATTTCAAAAATATCGTTACTTATTTTTTTCTTTTCTTTTTTTTTTTTTCATTAATTAATGTAGGATGTTCATAAAATGTGATCAAAACTTCAAGGAGAATTTCTTTGTAAAATTAGTTTGTTTTTTTTTTCTCCCCCACGAAGTTCACGTTTTGGGATCATCCTATATATAAATCGAGCGTGTTTTTATATTTTCATTTAATTTTCGTTTTCGAAGGAGAAAGAAAGAGAGAAGGAATTTAAGGATAAAGATAGAGATCAAAAGGATAGAAGCGCTGAAATCGAGAGACAACGACCAAGTGAGTATTATGATACGAATAAATAAAGCGTGCTATTATATTGCGTAGCATAATTCGAATAAATATAAACGTGAAAATAGACGATATTCATGTAAGGTCGATAAACGTTGAACGAGCTTTGAATTGAGAATAGAATTAAAATTTCTAGTGACTGCGGAGCCTCAATTGAATGGCGATGCAACGGGAGGTGATTCGAGCGTGGCATCAACTCCTCCATCGCAAACTCGTGTTATATCAGCTGGTGCTGGTACTTGGATCGATGATGAACCAGTCGTAAAGAGTCCACCAGAGCCAACGCGTGTAAAATCGCCAGAACAAATGATTATGCGCTCTCCTGAACCGGTTAACTGGACAGTGCCCCTCGATACCGGGAAGACGTTTACCGTTACGCAAAACGTCAGAGAGGGTAAGCGAATACGATAAATGATATATTCAAAGATCGATATTAATTAATGCGTTAAAAAAAAAAAAAAAAAAGAAAAAAAAGAAACAAATTATAAACAGAGACAATCTTTTAAAAAAGTCGTTACTATTATATTATATAATGTGTTAAGAATAAGGAAAAGAGAAAAATTACAAAAAATTATATTTAATTCAATACCTAAACTATTACACAAAGATACTTAAAAGGAACTTCATTTCCACGAAGAGCCCCTAACGCGTCCTCATAGTGAAGCAAAGACGTGGGCACCGTCCTGCGTACCATCGGCACCGCAATCGGCACCTCCGGAACTAGCGGCTCAGCACAAGTCGCAGCATCATTCTCAACATTCTGGTTATAAGTCGCCAGAAAGTGAGAGCGTTTCTCTTGGCAGTTTCGGTGGGATTACCGATCAAAAAGAGGACATAGATTCGGGACGTGCAAGTCCTTGTTCGTTGCCGACAAAGGTGGAAAATGTGTCCGCTGGGGAATCTGTGATCACACCTGGTCAAGATGAAAAGGTGAATTAATATGCATATATTTCCGTACAAATGTTTGATTCTTATGAAATTCCTGAACGATTGGTATTTGTTAATAGAAATCATACGATGCTGGTGGGGAACAGGATAAAGGAGAAGCAGTGAAATCGATAGGTAGTAGCAATATAAAATGTCTCGAGGATCCTATGTTCGAATTAGAACGTAAAAAGATCGAGTCGGGTGCTCCTACGACAGCAACAACACCAACAACAACGGCGACGACGACGACAACGAAGCGGGCGTCGTATTTATGGTGTGATCCGAACGCAGGTAGCGAAGGAATTGCAGGAGGAGGTGGCGGTGGTGGTGGAGGTGGTAGTAATGGAAGTGGAGAAACAGGAACGCCTATCAGCAGCACCACAACCACCACCAGCGCCACGGGTGGTTATCATGTGTTAGAGGCACCGCCGGTTCAGGTGATACCAGGTACGGCTCATCGTTCTACGGCGACCGACGTCTTCGAAAAAGCACGAAACCGCTTCGATAAATTCTGGGGAAAGGGTAGTCCCGCTGAGAATTAGAATCCTACGAAATAAACTAGTAGTTATGACCGCGACAATGAATTCAAAGAGGAGGGGAATACGTACGTGCAGAACGAGAGCAGAGTTGTTCATGAGAAGCGATCAAGGAGAGGGAGAGGGAGAAGGTGGGAGGAAGGAGTTTGTTTATAAACTTCCAATGGAGTTCCTGACATCAGCAGCTATCCCGTCGTTTCCTTCGTTCGTAAAACGTTAAACAAGTTCAAACGCGCGTACATGCGAGCACGTACAATTATTTAATCATTTAATTGGAAGCTATTGTAAATGGAATAGATATATCAGGTTTTTGTACGAGTGTTAGAAAGAATTCAAGACTCCGGAGAAATTACATCTTTTATTAGGAGATAAGAGAAATAAACGAAGAAAGAACGAACGAACGAACGAACGAACGAACAAATGAATAAACGAACGAACCAACCAACCAACCATTAGGTAGAATCCCGATCTAATGGTTATTACTATCGAAGAAGACAGATAAAGAGAAGAAAGCGTGCGAGCGAAAGCAACGGCAGGATCGCAGATATGGATGCGTATAAAGGCTTCGAGGATTCCTTTCGGGATTACGTTTTCGAAACGTTACAGTTCGCGTGTCTCATATTCGTTAGTGCGTTGTATAACATAGCCGTCACGTGTGGGTGACAACACCGAACAACATCTTGTATCGAGATTCATGTAAGTAGACGTTGAGTGTCTGAAGGATAGGTATCGATGTCGTTAAAGTCTTGGAAGCTGCGTGCGAATACATATAAGTTATAAATTGGAGTGATATTAAATTCGTCGATAATAATATTCTCACATAGATAAAAATCAATGTCACATTCGTGGTAACCGTATGTATGATATACGTTTGTTATTTTACATACATACATACATCAGTATTGAATATTTAAAGTAAATGCAAATACTTATATGTAAACGTACGAAACTTCCTTTACGTTAGATTCAAGTAATCATGAAAGACCCATCCAGTAAAAGTGCCGAGAGGCGTGCAATTTCTTTTTTGTTTATCTTTTTGTTTTCGGAGTGCTTGGTGAATTTTAATCAAGAAGAAATATAAAAGGAAGAAAATAAATAAAAACAAAAAAAGAGATAAAGAAAGCACGTCGAATCGACTATTAAGAAAGACGCAATGCAAGGCTTGTCATGCACCACTCTTTTTAGAAGCAAAAAGAAAAAAAGGTACATAGCCTTCAGCTACTTCATGCGTTTTATATTTATAAAATCTAAAAACACAAAGGGATACATGTTGTATATGTATGCGTATGCACCGGTGCATATATCTAAAGGTGTGTTGTTGTATGTGTTCAATACATACATACGTTTGATATACACATGACTGCACATTTAGATATACACTTGTGCATATGCCTACAAATGTATTGTTGATGTGTAAAATACATATGTTCGGTATACGTATGACACACGCATAGAGGATGCATGCGCATGCAAGCGCGTGCATGTACACACACACACACACATATATAAACATACAGTACGTATTATACAAAACACATAACAAAAGAAAAAATAAAATAAACACAGGTAATACACGAAAAACACCACACACATACACACACATATATATAGACACGGATACATGCACGCGCATTACGGAAAAGAGAACGACGAATAATTAACATTCGGAGAAAAGTCCCGCAGGCAACTTCGGCAAGTGGAACTACCTCCTTAGAGAACGCGTCTCAATCTTTTATAACTATATTCATGAAGAAATTTTTCACGAGCTTACTCGTTACTCCGATAATTAACTTGCTTCGTAGGAGAGAAGAAGAAAAAGAAGAAGAAGAAGAAGGAGATGATGACGATAACGATAACGATGATGATTATGATTATAATAATATAATGATTAATAATAACGATGTGAGAAAAAGAAGAAAAAAACAACAAAATAAAACCAAAAAAAGAAAAAATGAGTGACAAAAAAAAAATTGAAGAAAAGTTATGGATAAACACTATGAATATAAAATAATTCCCGTACACGCTATAAAAGAAAGATTATTTACCGAATATTTAGTATCGAAATGAATGAAACGAAAAAGAAAAAAAATAAGAAAACCAAAAAAAAAAACGGAAAAAAAATAATAAGATATGATCTTAATCCGCAAGTATATAACGGTGCATTGATTTGTATATTACCTTGTACGGATGCCGAAAAAAAAGGGAAAAAAATACAAAACAAAAGAAAAGAAAAATCATTGAAATAAAACAACAGTTCGTCCATGTATGGTTCGTTATGTCACAAAAAACAAGCGGTTTATTTCGCGATACGAGCATAAAAAGACGACCCCCTTTTTATTGCTGAGCGATATTTTAAAACCTGGCAAAAAAGGGGTTGGCGAATTTAATAAGATAACAAATACGCAGGCTGCAAGAATAATTCAATTGTTTCGCGCGCAAAAATCGAAGAAAAAAAGTAAATATAACTCGATAACGTGGGGAACGTTGTTCCTCGATCGTCCGCATGTGTGCCCTATAATTTCTCTCCTTTTTAATACGAATATTTTTGCTAGAAAACAATATTTCAATATACAATACACATTAGAATCGACGCGAAAATAAGGCTTTTGTCTTCGTACGGAATAAAAGAAAGAAGAAGAAAATTATGATGAAAAATAATAATATGATTAAGAAAATGTGTGGGCAGCGGGCTAAAAAAAATAATTGGTAATTGGTGCTAATCGTATCGAAGGATCATCGAAAGTATCGTAAAGAGGAGAAGAAGAAGAAGAAGAATAAGAAGAATAAGAAGAAGAAAAAGGGTGACGATAGGACACGATTCTCTCTCTCTTTCTCTCTCTCTCTCTCTCTATCTCTCTCTCTCTCTCTTTCTATCTATCTATCTCTCTCTTTCTCTCTCATTGTGAGATAGTATTCGCTTATATATATATTTGTTGCAAAATGACGAGAAATTCTAGGCCCGTAAGAAGAACGTTCGGCGAGATACCTATACATAAAAACGTAATAATAATAGGGGGAAAAAAAAAATAACATGTACCAACATAAACACATACATACATACATACATACATGCATACATACATACACACGTACACATTTAGTTCTTTAATTTCGTTCAAACGAATATTTCATCGACTGTGCGCTTTCGACGTTGTCTGTTCAAGGATAACGCCTATTGTTTGCATATTTTTTATTAGACAAAGATTTACCTCGAAGACGAAGAGGCTAATGAACTTTACCTAACGTTAAGCGATAAGTGAATATACGTAAGTATAATAAACAATGGCCAGGATCGAAAGCGAGAATTTTCGTTTGTAGGATCGTCCGGACGAAGCAACTATCGAAATTTAAGTTTTGAAATGATCTAGGAATGGAAACAAAAAAAAAGAAAAAAAAAAGAAACAAAAAAGGTACCTCACACAAGGACCCGTTCTTTATCTCCCCTTCTCCCCACCCCCCTCCACACCCCAACAACCCCGTCCTCCTACAGAAGCTTTCTCTCCTCCCAATTACTCCAGATATTCAAATTTTTTGTTTCCGTTCAAGGACCCAAATCCTAATTTCGCAACCCTTCAAAACCCCTTTTCCCGCTTTCGAAATATGCACGCGCGTTTACACGATACGTCGGTAATACCACACTCCATCCAGATTCACGTCCAAAGACAACCAATCGTACTGAAACAGCATAGCGATATAGTGATAATGATAATAATAATGATTAACGATATAATGATAATGATAATGATAAAATGATACTGATAACGATAATGATAATGGTACTACACAAATAACAAAAAAAAAACACAAAAAAAAAACATTACAAACGAAAATAAAAAAAAAATGAAACAAAAAAAATATAAAAAAACCAACATATTAACGTAGAAAACGAAAAGAACTATCGGAGGTATGGACCGATTGAAACACACAACGGCAACAAAACGTAAATAATAAAGAATGAAAGATAGAACGATTAAATAATAAATAAAATTGGAATGGATAAGAAATCACATTGAAGTATGATAATCATATTAGGACGCAGAAACTGGAAGACAGTGTTTAGAACTGGCGATCGTTGACGATGTCGATTTTGATCGGTAAGATCTCGTTACTTCCTTCAAATTTATACATATATATGTATATATATATATGGATTATTACATACATACTCGATGTATATTTTGAGGTAGATAAAATTTTGAGCTGATTATATTATTATCGATCATCCATTTTTAAATTGTGGAGATCGATTATAACTCGTATTTATTATAACGATATACACGAATACATAATAAATGTGATTTAACGTTAAATTCAAGGGAAGTATATTATACAAAAAAACAAGATCTTACAATCAGAATATCGGTATCGTCGTCGACCGATAAGATCGATATAAAATATATACATAACACACGTATATAAAAAAAAAAAACAAAAAAAAAACATCATCCCCTCTTCTCTCCTCTGACCCTCCCTCGCGATAACTTAAAAAAAAAAAAATAAAGAAAAGAAAAGAAGAAAAAAAAAACAATACAAATAATTACTACCTACACGAGAATAAAAACGGAGAGAACTGGCTAAAAATCTCTGCTATAATAGTTTTCTTTCTTTTCTCTGTATAAATACGAATTTTTTTTCTTTTTTCTTTTTGTTTATAATTGCGCCAATCTAACTTCGAAAACTATGCTTTTTCTGCGACCCACCCTATGCATATTATTATCCTATATCTATCTCGAATCCACGATTTTTCGAAGAATATAAAAGAGAGAAATCATTGCAATTTCTATGATTGTAAAGAAAAATGTCGTGTTTCTTATGATTTCATTTCTTTCGGAAGATTGTTTTGAATATCGATTCTTCTTATTATACATTTCAATTAAATTGCATTATTTTGTAGATAATAGAACAAATATAATTCGTTTTTATATAGTTTTTTGTATGAAATATATATATACTTTACAGTTCAATTAATGAATAAATTGAAAATTTTGAAAATGATTATTACGCGACGTTTATTCTTTTACAGCCAAAGAAATGATGTTCTCGTATGAAATTATAAAGCGCATCCTTAAAATAACTAATATTTCTCTCCTCGATATACAATACATTAAATATAAATCAGTGGCACGCCGATTATTAATATATATATATGTGATAAGCGATGAATTATTCCAATCAATAATCTTGTAAGGATGAGCGACAAGGATTCACACATAACTAACATATTATTCATTGCTACCACAAGAAACTAAACTAAACTAAACTAAACTAAACTAAACTAAAGTAAATTAAAGTTAAATAAAGTTAACTAAACTAAATTAAATTAAATTAAATTAAATTATAAACGTATAAAAAACTAATGTCAAAACAGATTTATCGGAAACGATGATAGATCGATCGAGAAAGCCAACGTCTTCTCTACGAGGTTTTGTCGCTTTTCGCTCATCGGTTTTCTTAAGAGTCGTATAGCTTCATATAAACGTTTAAAACGCTAAACAAATATTAAATAATATCTATAAATGAGGTGTAGCGGAAACAAATAATAATGTGCGATATGAGATCAGCAAGTAAGTAAACAAGCAAGCAAGCAAGCAAGCGAGCGAGAAGAATGAAAAATAATCGAAAGAAATAAATTATTTCAATAATTTCATCGCGCGCGCGA